TACCAATACGTGCTGTCATGAATTAATGTGAGAAATAAAATTCTGAATAAAATCCGTTTTTTGTTTTTTTGTTTAAAAGAAAATTAATTTTCAAATTAACAATTGTTATTCAAAAACTTGGTCAATGTTCTTTAGCAGTTAATTGTTTCTTAATCGTTAGAAGTAAACGTTTTAAATTTATTTATCAAACTTACTTGATTTTGTTGAAAATTATAGAAAAAGGTTTATAGTGGTGTGCTCCTTTTGTAATGCAAGTATTATGCTTATTTAATAATATTAAAGCTACTTGGGTGTTTACCGCAATAGTCACCAGCAAGTATTTTAAGGTTGCGCTCTACGTTACCATCAGGTCGGTAAGTCAACTACCTTGAATTGAACTGGCGCTCTATTCCGTAATCTGGCTAGTTAAAACAGCAGATGACAGTCAACAGTGATGAAATCTTCACTTCTTTTTCGACTTTTACGTCTATTTTACTCGGAATAGAGCACCAGTTTAATTCAAGGTAGTTGACTTACCGAACTGACGGTAACGTAGAGCGCAACTTTAAATTACTTGCTGGTGACGATTGCGGAAAACACCCTATCCGAATGTTGACATTTGATTTTCACGTCGGTTCAGTAGAACTTTTCTACTAAATCATGAATTTAAAAAATCTTGGGATTTTTTTTTTGTAAAAAATCGATTTTATTGCAAAATTATTTTGTATTGTACATAAAAAATGTGTTTCAAAAATAGATTACTCTTACTTAATCTTATTACTGGTGTTATTGTGTTAACAGTTGAATTTTCTTACATGGCACAATAGTTTTTGTATTTTAAATCATGGTGATTTTTTTTTGGAGTAGACTTTGTACATTGCTATTTTCTTGGTACAATACTTTAGCATGATTATCATGGCAATATGCAAGGAAATAAAAAATATTTACATTGATCAATTTCCTCACAAAGAAAAACTGATTTTAATCCACCTAATGAGTCCTTATCGACTATTTGCAAAGAGCGATGTATAAATGTCACATGCAACTCTTAACGCAGGTAGAATACACTTATTTTAACTTAATTATTCTGAAGGCACAAGGTGCTTCACCTAAATCATCAATATAAATAATAGGAATAAAGTAAAATAGTGCATAAAAGTGATTAATAAATAAGTTGAGTTTAAAAATGACAGAAAAGTAGTATGAAATCCATTGAATGTAGTGAATGTAGATAATATGAAGTTTAGAGTTGAAACTAGAGTTAAACGTAAAAAAATATCACATCTCTTTTACATAGCTAACTTTTGCTGAGATCGTAATGTTTTATCTTACACACAATATTAACGATAAGGGCAACAACTTTCGTTTGCGATCAGTTTCATAAATATATGAACAGAAAAAAAAAAAAAAAAAACATTTAAAAGAAAGAGAGGCCTATCGATTACAGGGGGAAATGTTGAATTGGGTGGGGAAGCTGTTGGAGATGTTGCTGCTGCTGCTGCTGCTGGAGTTGTTGTTGTTGTTGTTGTTGCTGCTGCTGCTGTTGAATCCAAGACAAATCGGCAATTGCAGTGGGTAAAGGTGGCGGAAGGGCAGCGCGTATGTATCCGCGCTTTCTAAGTCCAAGCTCAATATTGTAGTTGAAAGTAAGTCCCGTTGCATAAATGATACCGTCGTTACGCACCAAAGAAACTGGTACTTCAGCGGTTCGTTTGATCCAGGACCAATCACCTTGGAAAGCTGTTATATCAGGCACTACACATACCATACTCTGCTCTGTCCTGTACCACGTTTCGGCTTCGATATCTCCAAACCACACCTACTCAAAAAAAACGATTGTTTAATACTTCAGGACTAATTTAACAATTTATTTGAAATATGTGGTTTTACCGACCTGAAGGTTTGGCGCAAAATCGTCTCCTTTGAGCTCAAGCATGGCAACCTCCAGACTGCTCATTGGATTGAGATACTGAACACTGGGCACAGGAGTGACCGGAGCTTGCACTGGACCCATGCCCTCGTAGAAAGAGTACTCAGCTCTCTCTGTGCTTATGATCGTCCAGCAGGCACCGTCGTTTATCATGTCTTTGTTTGGCTCTTTGGGTGACGGCGTCGCGTTGAACGGGACAATTTTGTCCTGTGACAGACACAGGTACATGTGATCCGTGTCTTTAAGGTACAGGGCGCACTTGTGCAGCTGCGATACCGGATCATCCGCTTCTAAGCTTGCCATGGATTTGTCAACCTTTTAAAGAAACGAAATAAATAATCAATGGAAACAAGTGAATTATAAAAGCTCCAACCTTTCGTATGATGAGCCTAGGCAGTGCCATCCCCGTGTCTTTGCAAACGAGTTTGATTGTGCTGTTGTAATGAATGTAACCGTCTCGGGATTCAAAGTCTTCTGTCTCGCTCTCGTCATCGTCCAAAAGGTAAATGGTGAAAGTACTCCATTGCGTGGAGCTTGCGTGAAAATGATCGTTGTCAACGTGCAGGTAACGCGTGCTTACAGTCTGCGAGCGCAACCGATTGAACAGAGCAATGGTCGTGCCACTGGCAATGCAGAGCTCGGTATTTTTCAGCGATTGCTTTTTCTTGGATGGCTTGGAAATGACCTTGATGCGATTACTGAGGAAGACGCCGATGTCGTGGCCATTGCCGTGGAACATTTTTATGTACAGCATGAAGTTCTTGCGCTTATCCGAGTCTGATATGAAGAGAGTCTTGGCAGCACAGTAGTGCTCCTCGTTGTTGAGGTCGAGCTGTAACACATCCTGATCTGCGTTGCCTATTATACCAATGAAGGCACATAATTGTGAAGCCTGCTCGGTTTCGCCATTCTTCCGCATCTGCTCCTGTCCCAGGGACCAAGCTTTGCCTCTGATGGAAATATATATTTAAGTGGATTGAATTTCGGCTTGAATACTTAAATGCCATTTTAAAGGCCATGAAGCTAATTAAAATTACTACATGAGTCTACATAAAATGAGTTTTCATTAAATTTACCTTAGGTAAACACAAGGTGGCGGACAGAAAAATCTCTTTTCGGTTCCGTAAGATTTTTGAGCAACTTTGGCATGAAAAATAATGACTACCATGTCAGCCTTGCCTTCCGTTTGTTTGCATTCTGACAAGTAGCGTCTCATGGCCTCCTGGGTGAGACGTTGCCTTTGACGCATATCCAGTGCCATTCTGAATGATTTTCGTTTGGCATACTAACTGCAACTGTGATGCATTACCCGAATTAATGTTAATACTGGTGAAACACAAGCAGCATTAACTAATATATATTTCTTCATGTAATTGCGCACATTTAGGAGAAATGACGAAGTAAACACTGTTGATCAACGGCATGCCGTTGGCCTTCCTAACCTACTTTTTCAGGGCATCATAATATATATGGAAATTAATAAAATTTTCATTGCGCGTCATTTTTGAAAAGACAAAAATGATTTTATGAGATACGTACACTTAATTTGTACATTTTGATAACATGAACGTATTTATATTTTTAGCAACCCGAGAAGTTTGACCAAGTATTAGAAAATGTGTGCAAAGAACAATCAGCTATTATTTTATTAAAAAAAGTAGGTTGTAAAAAATTGATAAATTATGTTCAACAAATTGGCACATTTTAATTAATTTGTTGAACGTAAGCCTAAAGATTAATATGTACATTTTAATTCAATAAATTCTCGTCACTTCTTTGAAGAGAATTTATTTACACAATAGTTAGGATACAATTAACCAGGCTATCAGGAAGGTGTAGGACAGTATAAAACATGTCATTACTAATGATTAAAATTAAACAAATTATTTTTAATTTATATATTTATTTATTACAAAATTGAGTACATATACATAAGCCAATTCGAAGACTTGTAATCATAATAAAATATAGATTGCCGTTTGACAATTTTATATAACACTAAAAATTGATTATTTAAAAGCTTTTTATTTGTTTTACTTTAATCACTTTAAAAAGTCTCTCATCCTTCTCTCATATCTTCTGACCTAAAAGTTACCAATCATAATGATGGTGAAATAATATATTGTAGTGCATGAAGTTAAGATAACTGATCAAGTCACTGTACACCTAGAGTATATGAATCGTAATGATGGTAAGATTAATACGAAATTGAATGATCAAATTAAAAATAACCCAAGACATTGTTGTGTAGGGGAAATCATCAGCCTATTGATAAACAAATTAGAACGTGACTTTCAAAATTGTAAGCCTCCAGTTGAAGCCTATGTGTTTTCACTAACAACATTCGCAAACATCGACGGGTCAGTCGATTACTCACAAATAAGATTAAATTAAGTGCAATTTGTGTTTTTTTAGCTGAGCCATGGAGCTTTAGATATCCATCTCATTGTTTATATAATCAAAATGAATAGGTAACAATTTAAATATTTATAAAGAAAAAAAAAAGGCGTATTATCCTACCGCGCAGAAAAGTTTGTCTATAGAAGATTCTATCGTCCACATCACAAAAAATGTATCTATTTCCAAAATATAGGTCAACTATCTGGATAACATGCACTTGCAACTACACCAAGTATCTACGTAACTGAGCGCAGAAACTATTTTTCTCAATTATACATAGGTATGACTGTCCGCTTTTCAACCTCGTCTTTTGAACATCTTGAAGAACCTATGAATCCGTACAAGACAGTCGTATGCAAAATTGATGATAGAGATGATGAGGAGAATAATATAAATGATAGCAATTTTAAAGTAAATTTATTCAAAATTGTACTTGAAACAAAGCGAACGTCGTTTCACTGATGAGGACAGCGGAATAGGGCCTGCACAAGAGGGAAAAATGCCAGGTCTCTATACTATTAAGCTTGATTAATTAAAATTTAGATTTGTAAACTGTGTTTAGCGTAATAGCATTCTCCATTTTCTTAGAAAAAAAGTAATTAAAATAATATTTAATAATTTAAAAAGTTAAAAATTTAGATTAGTTTAATGTAAACGGCTTTAGTGCGTAAAAGCATTCATCGCTTTCCAACAAAAAATTTTTTTTCTTTTAATTTTGGATATACTTTAACAATTCACAATTTAGACTGTTTTGGTGCATAAAAGCATTCATCTCTTTCTTAAAAAAAAAAAAAAAAAAAAACAAAAGTTTGTAAACATTAAGAATGTGGGCTAACCTGAGATTTTCATTTTTCAATAATATTTAATAAATAAGCCGACATATTAAATGGGCTTACCTGAGATAAGTCTTATTTCAAAATTAATTAAATATATTTTACTAGAACATTTGCAAACATTAAAAATGTGGGCTAACCTGAGACAATTATTTTTTTCAACTTTAAAAATTTAATTTCAATATGTAATAAACATATGAATAATGGGCTAACCTGAAATACTTATTCAATTAATAAAATTTTAATTTAAGAATTTAGGATTTCAATTTAAGACTGGAGATACATTCATCTCAGAAATTTGACAATTATATTAAACATAGAAAATGGGCTAACCTGAAATGCTTATTTTTTCTCTATATTGCAGTACAAAGTATTTATCGTCACTTAGGTACTCAAGTATCACCAAGATATTCAATTGGAATGAACGGGTTTAAACACCATAAAACATGAACAAAGTTGTTAGCCTCAAATGGCAGGAACGGTGCAAGCAAGATAGATGATAAGACAAAACCATTAAGGTTCGTGAAAAGATAGGTAACATATACTCTCAAGTATTATACGAGGGATTATTATACTATGATCGGAGTGATTTACCTATCTAAAACTCTGAACATAAATGAAAATTTGAAGAAACTCGTGTACAAGGAATTGCAACCCATAAGTGTTCACAGGGATAGTGAATTACTGTGGTTATACATAGAAAGCCATGAAACATTCATGAATACACTTAAAAAAGTGATAAAAAAAATTCTTTAAGTACTCAGCAGAGCTAGTTATCAATATTTACCACAGCATTCGACTCGCACACAGTGACAATTCATTCTTTCAATCCTAACAATAAACTACCCAAGTTGTTGTGGGCAGTGGGCTGACTTCTTCAGAAAGTGACTGCTTTTATGTAGATTTAACAATAACGTTGAGTCGAACATCTTGAATCAATGAGATTTCAGGATGAATATTTCGTTCAGCTCTCTTCTCTCACTGAGCAACTCCAACCTGTAACGTTAAAGGTGTTAACACTCTTTAAGTTTGTAAAACGAAAGCAAAGTTTTGTTACTAAAAGCATAAGTGAGTAATGTAATGTGCTTGTTAATTGTTTACCCACCTAGCATATCAATAAGTTGTAACAAGTACAACTCTATTGAGGTTAGTAACTGCATCTTAGACAACGACTGCAAGATCCCTCTTTTCTCGTTGTACAAAAGAATATTGCGGTCACCGGCTGGACCTGAGAAAAACGTAATTAACAGTCAAAATTACGAAACCCTCGAAGACAAACTTGAAATTGAATTGTTGCCACGTGTTTTGAGTAGATGTGCTTTAAGCTGGTTGGTTGGCATTATTAAAATCGTTAATAACAATACTTATGCATTTGCTAGGCTTTTAAATTAATAAATCAACCTTAAGAAGCTTCGAAAAGGAAATTTCGAATACTATTCATTTGATTACATTGCATTGTTTATGATTCAAGGCCACGTGACTTACATAACCTTAAATATGTGTGAATTAACGGTCCCTGGTCATTATGGCAAGTAAAGATCAAATTATACACGTTATGAAGTATTAAAATGTACATGGAGCACTGGTGCAAAACATGTGCACGTGCAATTTATCGAGTACATTCTGTGTACGATTTTATACGTTATTCATAAGCTTAACAATGACAAAATCACAATTACAACTCCAGAAAGAAATGCCACTGCGCACACGATTGTTGAAAATAAGCTACATTTGTACGAAAATTAGCAAGTAAAGGTAAGAGAAAAAACATTCATGTTGAAACTTACTCATCGTGGCCATTCTTCGAGAAGAAAGATGCGTTGTTGGTCCAATTCAACGATAGCAGCAAAATGGCAGCATCGGTGGGTCTGATTAACAGCCATAACCGTTGCCCGTTGTGAAGGTATAGATTTTACAAATGTATCCTTGAGTTACTTTAGGATCTCGGATATCATGTACGAAACTGCGGCAACAGTTGTTGCCTCGACAAAAGTTGAAGGCAAAAGAAATAATAATAAGCAATTCTCCATCAAGTGATGCTGAGACGTGAGACCTGATATGGCGCTCACAAACACTACTTAGATGGATGCGCCGGTGCGCGCGCGTCGCAGGGGGAAGTCTTCGACCGTCATTGGTTCTTTTTCAAACCGTTAAAATGTCCTCTCTTTTGTGAAATGTATACAGATATACTGATGTGTTTCATTTTGACCGAATGCAAAACGTAACGCGCAAAGAGGAAAAGAAATAAAAAGAATTCTCATCGTGAACAAACGTTTGAGCCGTTTGAGGGATGGAATTTTCCTTTCGCACAATTCCTTGTCCGTTTGGGGTCTGGGTTCTCTTTTTTTTTTTTTTTTTTTTTTTTGGGGGGGGGGGGGGAAAATCTTCATAGACACCCCAGCTAATCCGGTGGTAGTGTCGCTGGGTTCTCTTGCTCCATACTCCATAAGTACACGTTTTACTTATGTTATGAAACTAGAAATTGAAGATACCTAAGTATACACTCGTACTTTGGTGGTGATTGTAAATATACTTGGTGGAAAATAAGTAAGTATACATTGGTCAGGATATATTTTTTTTCCAAATAGTCAACTTTTATAATTATGTATTCTGGAAATATAATATAATTGCAACGTTTTTTCTTTGTTTACTAAATTTATGATTGTAGTGCTGTTGTTCATATTAATCTTAATTTGCCAAGCACATAAACAAGTTAAATTTACTAGTTAATTTAAAAAGTAAGCATAATATACAACTCGTAATACAATAGAAGAAGAGGATGGTATAGAGGATACGTATATATATACGGAAGGTCTGTAAGCAATACACATTACAATTTATTGTGAAATGACAAGACGGTTTCTAGAGTATTCTGCTATATACACACTTTAATAATCAAAAAAACAAACATTACAATAGTAATCATAATAATTGTCGTTAATTACGTTACATTATATAATAATAATCATAATGATAGAATTGTTTATCAATTGTAGTGTAAACACTAAAAATTTTTTTTTTTTTTCTTTCCTTATTAATATTAATTTTTTTTTTTGTTTTTTTTCATTATTTTCCGCTCGCACGATCAGATTTATAAAACAGTGTGGTCTCTGTGTGTTGTTCTTCGCTTTCTCATCATTGTGTTTTTATTATTTTCTTCTTCTGTACTTACACGATTCTT